GACTGAGCTGCAGGAGTAGTGAAGCTCATAACCTTTTTGAGGTTATGTCAAAGTATTCCATTTACCTTTGCATTGATTCAGGTGTTGTGGGTGATTTAAGTATCATGTGAGAGTAGAAAATGGAGATTATAATTTTAATAAATGTGGAAATGACGTTGTGTTATCAACTGTCCTCCTCCATCATGTTGTCGTCTGTATGGAGTCAGTCTTTCTCACTAAGCCTCACTTACTCACTGCTTTTCTCAGTCTTTATTCTCTCCCTTATCTTTTAGCACAGATCAGGTGTAGATTTACAGTCCTGAGCAGACATTTTTTTTTCTAACACACTGGCCATCTCCCACTGAGGTAGGGTGATCCAAAAAAAGAAACACTTGCAACATAATTCACACTACTGCTGTCACTGGGCAGACATATCATTATTTCTAGGAAACAGTAACAATATATTTAGTATATGTTAAATTTGGCAGTATATACCCACAGTATTTCTTCTTAAAACTGTTGTTAAAAGTGCTGTAGATTACCTAGGCATATTATGGGGGTAGAAGTAGCCATGCAGACTGTATGTTTAATGTAAAACATCATATTAAAACAAAAGGGTGGCCACAAAAAAGCTTCCTGATTTCAAATAGGTGTAACATGCAACTTTATTGTAATAATCTTTCACAGTAGTAGTTTCAGATGCAGGATTTCATTCAGTTTCATGTGGTATAGGGTAGCATTAAAGGAATTCATTGTGTGCCCCTCTGGTTGCTCGGCAAACATCGATGCGATAGTCCATTTCGGTCCAGGCGCTGTGCTGCATATCTGGTGTTATCATGCCAAGTGCTTCAGTGAACAAAATTTTAGCTCCTCCAGGGTTGCAGGTACTGGTGGTACATAAACTGTGCTCTTCATGTACCACCAAAGAAAGAAATCACAAACAGTTAGGTCCGGTGACCTCGCAAGCCACTTGCAGAGGTCACCGGACCTAACTGTTTGTGACTTTCTTTGGGGGTACGTGAAGAGCACAGTTTATGTACCAGCACTACCTGCAATCCTGGAGGAGCTGAATATTTCGATCACTGAAACAGTTCGCATGATAACACCAGATATGCTGCAGAGTGTCTGGACTGAACTGGACTATCGCATCGATGTTTGCCGAGCAACCAGAGGGGCGCACATTGAGTTCCTTTAATGCTACCCTATACCACATGAAAATTAATGAAATCCTGCATCTGAAACTACTAACTGTGAAAGATTATTACAATAAAGTTACATGTTATACCTATTTGAAATCATGGAGTGATTTTTTGGACACCCTGTATAGTCATTGTAACATCATCAGTGGGTCTCCTTCCAACACAGAGCATTGTCTGCAGCAGTGGTGTACTTGAGCCTATTTGGTCCAGTTTACCCAAATGTCTGTTAAATTATAATTAGACTGCTGAACCCCTTCATTCACTTTTAATAAAGTTTTGGTAGTAATAGAAACTAAACTTGAGATAAAAATAAAAGTATATAGAAAGGAACTGAAAGGGACAACAGAAGTGGAATGGATAAGACAATCTAAAAGCAAAAAAAAAAAAAAAAAAAAAAAAAAAGAATATAAAAATGATGGAGCTGAATGTTGATTTTTGAGCAACGTGATAGGTGTTCTTGGCATGTAGAAAATCCCCGAGAGTAGAATGTGTAAGCAGTGGGCCCAGACCTACCCAGCTTAATGACTTGTATCATTAGCACTTTCAAATTTGTGCTGCTGTCTTCAGCCGTACTCAGAACAGGTTGCAAGGAATTGCCAGCAGTACCCCTGGTCTATAGTGACAACCTTTCCAGACCATAGTCCCACACCACTTTCCTAATTCCGTAACTCATCAGTTACTAACATATGGCTCGGATGTAAGTTGACGCTGAATAGATATGTCTCTTTATGCAGAGTTTCATGTAAATATAGAATAAAATAACATTTAGATCACCATTGTAGCCAGTGCAATGCTATGAGGTTGACTGGAATGCTTTACTAAAAATAAAAAAAAATTGAGTTGACCCTTTCAATGTTGAAGTGTCATATCAGTCTAATGGGGTTTCAAGACATATGGTTTCAAAATAATGAGGTGGTGCTGCCTAGTTGTGACTTATTCAGTGTGCCAAAACGTATCCTATTTGGCTTAGTACATAGTTTTATGAATAAAAAAGTATTATTCCTTTATTATTATTATTGATTCTTGAACATCAATAATGATGATAAATACTCTACTATAATAAGTTTTTATTTGTAAATTATTGCACATTCAAAAATTAGTAATAATGGTAGAATTACCAACAGAATACGTATTAAGTACATGGACACTGATGCAACTAATGTGACAATTTGTTGTGGCAACGATTCACTCTTCAGGAGCTTTGTCAAGCAGTTAATGGCTTGACAAAGCCATCAACGGCTTGACATCTCTTCGTCGTTTACATTTTCTACTTGTATGCCTTTCCTAAAAAATATACCCGATCAGTCTGGAGAGTAGTCTGCATGTAGTCAATTTGATGAGCATGTAAGCAGTTTGGTACAAATAAATATTTGTAAGAAAAAAGTTAATACTTTGAAAAGAGTTTGCATATGGGTACAAAATTACACAACCTGCACACAGGAAAGAGAAGTTTGCAATGATATTTCAGTCCAAGTTGGACCAAAATGTTGTTATAAGCTGCTCTCTCCTATATGTGGGTTATTTGTGTACAGTAAGTCCTCGACTTACAACACATTGAGAATCTTATGTATTGTGTATAATATCATAATTATACACAATACAGAAGGTCCCTAATGTGTTTATAAGTTGAAGACTTCTGTATAATGAATAGTATTATACACAATTCAGGAAATCCCATTGTGTTTGTAAGTCGAGGACTTACTGTATTGTTCAGGTCACGGTATTGTGCCTTTTTGTTCTTCATGAATATGAAGAATATTTATGGCCCCTATTACTACTTGTAAATATCCTCTTGTTCTCCATAACAAATTTGTGATATGTCTATGTGTGGAAGATTGAGACACTTATGCAGCATATGGAAATCTTTATTCAGGAAACGTTTCGCCACACAGGTTGAGGGACTGATTACCTCATTCTCCTCCTCTCCTTACGCCTTCCTCTTTGTATTGGACTGATGAAGCCACTGTGTGGCGAAACGTTTCCTGAATAAAGATTTCCATATGCTGCATAAGTGTCTCAATCTTCAACTTGTCGGTTTTTCAAACCATTCATCATGTCTATGTGTGTTTTGTGTGTGTGTTAGTGTGTGTGCATGTGTGAACTTTTGTAATTAAAATAAATATTTTAAGGAAGAGTTTATGGCTTACTCACCCATCCCCACAACCACCAAGACCCAAGATTCACTGGTAGCACTAGAGTCCCAACCAATTAATACTACAATTTTCTTCGAGATAAATGTTTTTATGAAAGAGGTTTTTAAGAGTATATATAGGTACAGTCATGATTTTTTATAATTAAAAATGTTCATACGAACATCTTGATCTAGTTTTTAAAGTAATCAATTTAGCAAAGATGATTAAATTATTAAAATTATTTGATTACCTGTTTGTAGTTCCAAGAGCAAAGCTAAGCTCATGGTGTTCCATCCTTAGTATTTAATGTAACATAAACTTTTGTAAAACTTTCAGTCGTTGTAGTAATGACTACCTCCTCTTGTAAACATGTGCAATTGCTCACATGTTTGCAGGGTGCCACAGTCCCCACATAATGTACCACATACTGTACAACCATTCTGGTAAGTTACTGAAGTTTCTGGCTGCCATGTATAAGCATGCCCAGCACTCTACTGCCGGGTTCAAAGCTCCACACTGTTGCTTTACAAAACAAGGGAGAAGTGCCCCTCAGTTTGAACTTGTGACATGATCACAGATTACTTCTTGCTCCATTCAACTCAGCACAGGGAATTGTAAATGGTACCAGGAAATTATGAGGTTTTCAGCCACTGTACTTGACACTTGATACTAAATTTCTACCCTTTGGTGACTAAATAATTTGAAGAACTTGTGCAACATTTTTCTACTCAGGAATTATCTTTCATATGTACAGTGTATGATTCTTTGTCAGGCAGCCTAATTCCCCTGAGATAATTCTAAGCATTTTTCATATTACTTGAGTACCTAATGGCTAGTATTATTACAGCACAGTACGTATAGCATTGCAAACAATCACAGACTAGTGATAAAAGATGCAGAACAACCACAGGGGGGAGTTGAATGATATCCCTAGGCCTTTTGTGTTGCAATCAACATTTCATCAAGAGCTTGCAATGTTGCGGAAGATGTAGAATCCAGGCCCTGCTTGGACTCTGCTCCTGATGATTGAAAAACAAAAGGCTTAGAGCTGTCATTCATCACCCCCTGTAGTTGTTTTGGACAATATAGTTATGTATGTTGATGTGGTTCCCTGTATTTTTTTATATTTGCCTTTTTTCACCTTTTTCAAATGACATTTTTTATTTGCTTCTTTGCCTTAAAACTATTGATAATATATATTCTTTAGCAAATTCCTCTAATTTCAGTTAAATATATGTTCACAAAACATAGTAGAATGTATTTGTATCTTGTGTAATTCCTACCATGATCTATGATCTTGTCACAGGTGAACTTTCCATTTAAGACCCAGACTAAAATATACTTAAAATGGGCCATTAAAAGCTTCAAAACTAACCAGACCAACACTTCTGAAATATTTTGAATGCTAGACAAAAACAGTATTTTGACCAACTTTGCAATAATGTCTTTTTTTTAGTACAATACGTATTCAAGTGTTTTTTAAAATGTGATCAATTTGTCTAGTGTATTTCAACAGAGAAAGACATAGCACATTTGGTCACATATTTACCTATTTCCCAAATTTCCTAAGACACTGTTAAGCTTTTAAAGTTTGTCCTAAATTGACTGTAATGCAAAAGCATTTAAGAACAATTTCACCATTATCTGAGTAAGCATCATATCCTATAATGTTTGGATGTATCCCTTGCAGTGCTCGGAGGCGTGTGATCGGGGTGTTATGTATCGTAATGTGACCTGTGTTGACACTCAGATGAATGGAACGGCTGTACATGATGAGTACTGCCTTCGGGAAGGGCTGTCTAGGCGCAAATCCAGTCGCCGCTGTAATAAACACCCTTGCCCATTTCGTTGGGTTACAACCCCATGGTCTGAGGTACACAAGCCATTGCCAACCAAAAGGTTGCATATTTATGCCTAACTTGAGATCACCCTAACTAAGTGAGCACTTGTCAGCTACTCTCTCACATATTCGTAGGAATTCTTCAAACTTTTCAAGAGTATATTCTCTGTTTGGTGATCTCAAGGAAAGTAGTTATAGCAGAAAAGTAGTCGCTCGGTAGTGGTGTAGTCATTACAGTAGCGGTCGGTGTAAGACTAGTGCATTGTATTTTTCCAAGGATTGGCATTGATAACAAAACTTTGCTTAAGTAGTACTGTATGATCTAAGTTCTTCTCACTTTGCAACATCTTGCTTCATTGCCTAAGATCAATGTCTTCTGCTGAAACTTGTTAGTATTGTATATTGTAGCATTACTTCTATTCATAATACTGTGTGTATGTGCATGCATGCATTCATGCTTTCATGTGAGTGTGTATGTATATTCACATGTGCATTAATGTGAGCATGAGTGTGCATGCTTGTGTGTGTGTGTATATATATTATACACATGAACATACATACACACACAGTATATATGCATATACTGTATATATGTGTAAAAAAATAGAAATGTTTAAGTGTTTTCGTGCATTTATACACAATTTAGAGTAGAGCACTTTACATGTAAAGTGGTAGCTTTTAAATGGTGTTTAATGGTATAATGGTTTTAAATGCTTTAAATGGTTTTTAAATGGTTACAAAAAACTGGCAGGAGTAATCCTTGTGAGCCTCTTCATGACATGACAGGGAGAAGTGGAAATACCCTCGGCTTCTCCATCTCTTGGACAGTGAATTAAATACCTGTAAGATGTTCCAGGGTTCAGTGCCCCTGCACCCCAGTCCATGACCAGGCCTCAATAAGTTACCTCATTTTTCATGGTACACCAAGCCATGAATAATGACTATGCAACTAGATCACACATTGTATTATACTATGTAACTAACCTGGATAAAATCCAGCTGCATTAAGCTCTCTTATGAAGTTTTTTCTATATATTGCAGTTTTTCATAAATGTGATTAAAAAGTGAATAACTTTTATTATAAAGGCCTTTCTACTTGCTCTTTAATTTTGGATATATCTTTTTCACTTGCATTATGAAAAGTTGCACCTAATAGAGGAGGTTTAATCCTTAAACTGTCCAAACGTAGATCTACGTTCACTCGCTTAGTGCTCTGAACGTAGATCTACATTTTTTTACATACTTTCTTATGGAGAAAATCAAGGTCGGAGCGCTACGTGTGCAAACGCAGATCTACGTTTGGACAGTTTAAGGGTTAAAAGAGCTGACTATGCACTAGTTAATGGTCCAAGTCAGACTGAAATGTCATTATAAATTTCATTGTCTTGTGTGCAGGTTTTTTGTGTATTCAGTCACGGTATTGTGCCTTTTGATTCTTTAAAGAACTAACTGTAAAGAGCTATCAAAGGATGGTTTAAGATTATCTTATAAAGAGAACTGTAGTAGCTCCATAGATCCATATTAGGTAGGTCCTCTTCCCCTTCACTTTGGTTCAATTATCTACAACTCTTGCCAAGCCAGTGTTTATAAGTTTACTTTCTAAACCAAGATGATTATGGTTTACTAAATCTACCATGGTGCTCCTTTTGAGAAAAGAAACCTTTGTGTGATCGTAGCTTATACCAATTATTACATCTATAAACTAAATGGATAAAATCCACTTACTGATTTTAGAATTTAATAATTCCTAAAACTTATAAATAGTAGATAAATGTTATATGAAAACTGACCAGATAGAATTTCATTAATAAATAATAAACATGGTTTAATGTTACATATATAGTAAAAGCCAGAGTTACACAAAACATTTTGGGCAGACTTAAAACTAAACAAACTTAAAAATAATTGAAGGAGAAGGTGAGATTATATATATAATATTGTGCAGTGTAAGATAATTAAGGTGCATAAAGAGGTAAACCCATCAACAAAATCCCTATATCACAGTAATATGGTGGCCTGTCTAGCTTTCATTTTTCTTATTGATTTTTTTTTTGTTTATACATACTATTCCCCTCACTTAATTGATTGTTTGGTATTACTACAAGTTCCATGGATTTTAATAGCAGCAGTAAAATCTCTTATAAACCTCCACTCTTTACTGTAATTTTTGAACACCTTTGCACACATTATTCTGTTTTGAAATAATCGCAAACAAGTGATTCAAGATAAAAAAAGCAAACAGGGGGAGTTGAATGACAGCTCTAGTCCTTTCATGTTGCAGTCAGCACATCACCAGAAGCTTGCAATGTTGCAGTAAAGGAAGAAATCCAAGCAAATACATATTTGCTTGGAATTCTTCCTTCTGCAATATTGCAAGCTCCTGATGAAGTGCTGATTGCAACACAAAATGCCTAGAGCTGTCATTCAACTCCCCCCATGGTTGTTTTGCATGCAATTCAGTTTTGAACATAATTTTACAGTCACATTTGCCGAAAAAATATTGCACTATATACAAGAAATATATAAGAGCATTTACTGTATTTTATAGTTGAGGAGCCTCATTATAATGTGCCAAAACGAGACATGGACCATCCTTTCCCTCCAGTGTATCTGGCTACTGTTGCTGTGACTCTCCACCTTCCTCCCTCCATTGAACATATCTGTATTTTCCTTATAATATGAAAATTATAAATATAATATCATGAAGAATATTTATACAACATAATATTTATTTGAACAAATGAGAGAGTGGTGTTAAAATAATGGGCAAAGTCTGCCAGGTAAATTGTACTTTTGACTTTGTTTATTGCAATATAACCTGTGAAATTGTTTATACAATAGTATATTAGGTATACAGTAGGATACGTAGTACATTTTTTTTTTATTTTTAACATTATTCATTTAATGGACAGTCCCCTCATTAGTTCAGTATATTGAGCATTTATTGTACTTATATCAGAATAATATCTTGCTCACACAAGAGCTTTTTCGAGTAATACAAGGGAAATTACGAACCTTCCATGAGTAGTTGACCCGTTGTGGTGTCTAGAGTTTCTAGGGCAGCTTCGTGGGTCAGGTGTCAAAGTGTTGTGAAAGTTGGATGATGACCTCATCTGGTAACATGCAGGTGTCTCCATGAAGATGGATTGTAAATTATTGACAAACTGAAAATAAGAGGTGAAACAGTGTTTGGCTGCCCTTTCCTTAAGAGCATTGGCATCTGAGTTTTTTTTATAATTACGCTCAGTTTAATTGCAAGTTTATAATGACTTCAAATGTTTTAGCAAGCTTTAAAGAACTTAAGTATATTTTTGTCTAGAAATGGGTGTGCAACAAATGTACAGTGGTCCCTCGTTTATCGTCGTTAATCCGTTCCTGGAAGTGCGACGATTATCGAGAAAGACGATTTTCGAATCAATTTTCCCCATAAGAAATAATGTAAATACAATTAATCCATTCCTGACACCCAGAAGTATTAAAACAAAAATTTTTTTACCTGAAATATAGATGTAGTACATAAACAATACAATGGGACATGATGAATGAAACATTAACAGCATAACACTTACCTTTATTGGCGATTCTTCTTAGTGTATGGAAGGCTGGAGAAGGAGGAGAGAGATTGGATTAGTTACTGTTTGGAAGTGGAATCCCCTTCCATCAATACCTTCGGTACCAAGTCCTTTTCTGGGGTTACTTCTCTTCTCTGTTTCTTAATGCCACTAGGACCACCTTGAGAGTCACTGGAGTCCTGTCTCGCAAAAAAAAGTGTCCAGAGAGCTCTGTTTCTGGCGTCTCTTTAAAACTTCCTTAAAATGGGCCGAGACTGTCACTGTACAAGTTGCCGATATGGCTTGCAACATCCTTCTCAGGGTGATGTTTCTCCATAAATCTTTCTGTCCTACCCCACATTTCAAAAATCTCCTTAATTTCTGAAGAAGGCACCTTCTTCCATCTCTCTTCCTCCTCCTCCTCCTTCCTTCCTCCTTGTTTATCCACACCAATAATAACTTCTCAACCTCTTCGAGTGTTGGTGATCTCATTTTTGTCAGCATATTTACCCCCTTTGCAACAACAGCTTCCTTGATTTCCTTTTTCCCGGCCTCGATGGAAGATATGGTTGTACGGGATTTGTTATACACCCTGGCCAGTTCGGCCACACGTTCGCCACTTTCATATTGTTCAATGATGTTTTTCTTAAATTCAGTCATATTTCTCACCTTCTTTACCAAAGGCTTGGCACTAGGAACTTTCTTTGGAGCCATGGTAGCTTATTTAGCACTTGCAAGCACTAAAATGAATGGAATATTATGAAATATTTCGTATGAACACGTGAGGGGACTGTCACTCACTGGTAAATAATGGCACACTGGCTGGGAAAGAAGGCCAAGGCGGCTCAGAGCCATGAGTACGCGTCCAGAATGAACGATGATTAGCGAGTCAACCGACCATTTGCAAGCCAATGTTTGGACTAAAATAACACGACGATTTCCGAAAAGGACAACTATCGAACCCGACTATTATCGAGGGACCACTGTACTTTGAATTTTTCATATTTCAACTGATGGATACAAGAGTCCTGAATTCACTTGTGTTATAAAACAAATTATCATCCCCAAAGATTGAGAGGTGGTATTAATGCATAAAGTGTAAAGTTAATAAACAGAGACATAATCTTCTTGCCTTTGTTATTCTCATCTTTATTGCAGGGGAACTATCCAATGTAATGCCCCACTTTCCCTTGCCATAACATTCAACACATTCCCATCACACTACTTACACTTTACAAATATACTGTACGTATATCATTTTTCAGACTTTGCATTCATTATCCATATCCTCAATACGCTTGTTATGGGGTTCTTCTTTAATCAAACCAACCATATCCCGCTGAGGCAGGGTGTCCCAAAAAGAAAAACAAAGAGTTTTTCTTTTTAAATTTAGTAAAATAGTATGTAGGAGAAGGGGTTACTAGCCCCTTGCTCCTGGCATTTTAGTCGCCTCTTAAGACACACTTCCCCATGGAGATGTTA